TCTTTGTAGAGCTACAGCGGTACCTTCAGTAATTCAGGCTTGATCTCACAAAGTTTGTTTACAACCTCTGATGGACCGAAATGTTTACTTTGCTTAGGTGTCGTCAGGTTTTTTGTGATGTATACTGTAAGTGCTTGTGATTCTCAAAGGCCATACTTTTTCTTCCTACTTTTGGATCAGATAAACTTGCCTTCCATTTGTTTTTATACAGTGAGTAAAGGTTTGTTTTGTTTCTGTCTTACTTTTTTCAACATTGTCTTGCAATAAACACCTTTTAAACTCATTTCTGCTTGTCTCTGTATGACTAAGAAAACTAGTCGATATGTGATTTTTTTTTTTTAAATCCCCACTAACATTTGGTTTAATGTCCCTTAGCAAGGTTTCGTTTCCATCAATAAGTTTCTGGGATAATTCTAGCTGAATTTTTGACCACTGTACTTGGCAGAATTGGTAGAGTTAGTTTAAATTGGACTTTTAAACTTTTAAATCTAATCCACAAATATAAATAGCTTTGAGATTTGGGTTTTGGGAAGGCCATTCCAGAAGTTTAATGTTAGCCTACTTTATCCTGATATGAGTTTGGAAGCATTATCCTGTTGGAACGCCCAGTAAAAGAAATCATTAAAAGCCCCAAGTACCATAAAATTCATGCCCATGATGGTTAACAGTAGCTGCAGTTAAACTGTATTTGCAGCTTCAGTTCATTATAACTTCATATGTACTTTATTTTGTTTGGCCTGACTTTTTCCGTCCTGTGTTAATTCACATCACCATTTTTTCTTGTGAGTCAAACAGTTTATAAGCTGCGTTTTTCAACATACAGTTATTTTTTTAGCACTTAAGTTATTGAATTCTTTTATTGCTAATTATACAGTGTCAAGGAACATTTACCAACATATTTATTTTAATCAGTAGAGTTTAGTCATGTATACTCGTTTAATTTTATCGTCTTACTGTTTTGAATGAAAACTGCACTTTGACTTCCCGACCAGCAGGTGTCAGTGTTCAATTTTTCTCCGTCCAGCCGAGCCGTCTTCAATTTGATATTGTCGACTCTTCCTTGAACTCTGACCTGTCTGTAACCTTCAGCGTGCATGTGAAAACAGAAGAGACGTGCTGTTAGCTGAAGCTTTATTAATATTATTATTGTTGTTATTATTATATCATGGTAAGAGTACATTTGATACTTTTTGTGTTAATGTGCCAACACTGTTAGAGACTGCGGTTATTCCGGAAGCTTCCCTTGTGTGTTTGTCGCACATAAGACGTAAGACAGCTGTGCCTCCTCTTCACTGAGAGGTCTTTAATTTGATTTAGGGTTAAATTTAAACAGTTTTTAGTAAAGTCACATCCAGAAAGGATTTAGACGTGTGTGGAAAGCGTGTCGCTGTTTACAGATGTAATGCAGGTGTTGTTGACTGTAAAGTCACTTCTGGGTGTTTTTTGTGATTAACTCCGTCATTCCTGATGTTTTTTTTTCTCCTGTTGTAGGCTAAATATCTCGCACAAATCGTGGTGATGGGAGTTCAGGTGGTGGGACGTGCATTCGCTCGTGCTTTGCGACAAGAATACGCAGGTATGACCCGGAGTTAGTCGATTATTCGATTCTTGCGCAGAATACATTGTTACAAAGTACTAACCTAGTTTAACACCTGGCATAAGGTAATATAAGAAGTATCAGTTTACTTTCAGTAATATAGGGCCACACCCTGGCTGTAAGGTAAATTGTGCACACCATTATAGTTTTAGTTACCTTAGAAGCACATTTTGTAATTTTCAGACAAATGTTGCACACAAAGTCACAAGTCTGATCAGCATTTTTTTTTTTAATCACCATTACATGTTCACTGGCCTCATGTCTGCCTTTAATTCTTCATGGCATAGGTTCACGAAGCTGCTGTAAATATTCCTCAGATCAGTTCTCTATTGGATTTAGATCTGAGGACTGTTGGAAGCAGGGAGGGATGGACATGGTCAGCAACAATACTAAATTAGCAGCCGGTGTTGTCTTCTGCTGCTGTAGCTCACCTGCTTCAAGCTTTGATGTGTCCTCTGCCTACCTTAGATCTAATGAGTGATTCTTTGAATTACTGTTGCTTTCCTGTCAGCTCAAAGCAGTCTTCCCATTCTCAATGTTGATGGCCTCGGGCATCAGCCAAGTACTTTCACCTAGACATCAGCCTGGATATTTTCTCATTTTTTAACATTCTCCGTAAACCCTACGTATGGTTATGTGCGAAAATCATAGTAGATCAGCATGCAATATTTGAACTTCAGCATGTCATCTTGACCACATCTGCATGTCTCAGTGCATTGAGTTGTTGCCATGTAATTGGCTGATTAGATAGATCCTGGCGTTAATTAATGGGAACTAATGTACCCAAGTGGCAGGTACTGTAGGTGTATGTGTGTCTGTGTGCATGTGAATCACATTTGTTTTTGTTGTGTTTTGCTACACAGCCAGTCAAGCTGCAGCGCAGGCCAGGGGCCGTTCGGGTCAGGAGTCGGCCGCAGCCTCCAGCATCACTGGAATTAGTTTGCAAGAGGCCCAGCAGATCCTCAATATCTCCAAACTTAGCCCTGAAGAGATTCAGAAGGTACAGTCACACTAGTGATCCTTTTAGATCCTTTTAAGGTTGAAATTGGTCTGGAGATCTTAGAAGCTTTTTTTTTTTTTAATACCATCTGATGTGGAAGCTTTTTACTCTTACACAGTTATTAAAACAAATACAGTAGTTTGGTTAGTTTACCGTCAAAGACTGCATGGAAGGTAAACCATCTCTAAAGTGGTCATCAAGTAATGGAATTTTTTTTTTAGCGTTTGCTTAACACTAGAACACTAACATCGGGTATATTTTACATGACAATTCCCATCAACAATACATGGCAAGCTGAAGTACTTTTCTTTTACTTCTGAATCTCTGATGTCATGTCACTGATGTGATTTGATAGAATATTTGGTTAAAAAGTGTGTGTTTCTGCTGGGAATAATTAAATGGAGTCAGATGCTGTCACTAGAATACTAACACTGAAGCATTTCTCTTCACCAGAACTACGAGCACCTTTTTAAAGTCAATGACAAGTCAGTGGGCGGTTCCTTTTACCTACAGTCAAAAGTAAGTGCTCTAAACGTGCATTCACTTTCACTTTCCAGACATTTTTTTAAATGTGTACAGTTAAGGCAGCATGAACATAAAAATTGGTACATTGTTTTTGCTTGTCTAAAGATGAAATCAGCACCAAAAAATAAATAAATAATTAAAAAGTACAATTTTATACCTGTAGGTGTCAGAGTTTTGAGTCTCAAACTCAGATCTTTCTTCTGCCAGATATTGTGAAGACAGAACTAGCTGTTCTAAAAGGTTTTTTAAACTGTTGCAAAAGGCATTTTCACCCCTTTTTTGCTGTTCTCTTGGGTTCTGATGATGCAACGACGAATCCAAACAAACCAAAAGGAATCTCTACCAAGAGGCTGAGAACATTCGCTCCACTTATTGGTCAGATGTGTCTGAGAACTGAGGAAGTATCGAAATAAAAGATATATATCATGTCAATTTAAAGTGGCACAACATCAGAGTTGGCATTTGCTCATAATGGTGGAAATGATAGAAATACACCAAAACCATAACTTTGCTCTTTGTGTTGAATTTCCGCTCATTCACACTTTGCTTGGGGAAAACACTCAGCAGAATAAAGTAGTTCATGTTGATCATGTAGCACAGATCATGTGACGGTTGCAGGTTTCAGTGCCCTGCCTTCTTCCACAATACAAAGTTAACTGGTCATACGAGCTGTTTAGTTCCTGAGGGAAAACTAACCAGTCTGATCAGACTGAACTAAAGAGTGATGATGTTAAATGACTCTGATGCTGACAGATTCCCTCAGAAACTGTTTATTCTCAGAGATGCTGTTTGTGTTCAAAATACCTGTTTTAATATATTTTTTAATTAAATTATAAATACACTGTTTACTATATTAATCATTCACATTGAGTGAATCCTCTCCATGGTGAGCGCACAGTGCTGTGGGAAAGTATTTTCCCTCTTCCTCATTTTTTTGTTTTTGGTTTTTTGTGTACTTGTAACTTCCAAAACTTTTATCTTCTATTTTTCTGTTCCCTAAACTTTTAAAATTTCTAGATTAACATGCAAAAGATAGATAATATCGATCTATCTTTGCTTATTTTCTCTGAATTTTTAACTTGAAGGCATCAAAATGTGTCCGTTCCAGTTACGATGCAAACGGTTGTAGTGGCAACTTGATTTAAAAACTCCACTATGTTCACAAGAAAAAAAGAATTGCCACAGGCTAAAGACAGAAAAGTCACTGTGGGGCAGATTTCACTGGCTGACTGGTCAGATCGGACCAAAGTCCATGTTTGAAAGCTCAGTGTTTTTTTCGCTCTCAGGACCAGCCTGATAGTTTCTATGACAGATGTGCAAATACAAACTTCTCACTCCTATTTTAGTCTTCTCATTGAATATCAAGTAACACGTGGGTGGAGTCGACTCTTTGTAATGAGTAATGTTTGACGTTCAGTCAGTTGCTCTGTACTTCCTCTTTACTGTGACTAATTTGTATTTTAAAAACATTGAAGTCACCTCTTTCTCTTTGTCATCACTGTTATTGTTTGTGTGTAGGTGGTGCGAGCAAAAGAGCGTCTGGACGAGGAACTAAGTATACAGAAAAAAGAAGAAAAGCAGCAATCACAGCAGAACACGGAAACATGAAGGACAAAGCGATGCCCGGTCTTTCCTCTCCCCATCCTCTGTAAATTATAACCCAATTAAAAGTCTTCTCCTTTTCTCTAGTTTTGACTTTGTGACACTTTTTTTTCCAAGCAATGAGGTGCAAAAAAGGAAACTATAATTCTAAACATACAATTTTAGCTTATGTGCTGAATTTAACTGCATCGAGTTGAATGTTAATCAGGTTATTCTGGGTGGGTTTTCACCTGTTTTAATGTATATGTGAGATAGAAATGAAAATGCACACAGAAGTATCAAATGCAGCTTTATTAAACATTTTTTTGTTTTCATTGACATTATTATCAATATCGTAATAAAATTCCTCTAAAACAGGAGCACGCCGCTATGTTGTACCAATTGGAGACTTTTACAACTCTAAAATTCTGCATGTTCGACCATAGAACATGACGCCAGGAAAAAAAATATATATTTTCATATAATCATTTTCTTTTTCATAGTGTATAACTTCTATATTTACCTATAATAATAAAAAGGCACTTGGAAAAATTAAAATACTGACATAATATCTCACAAATGTGCAAAAAAACAGAACTTGGAACAGGCCTTGCGTGGCCTTAGTCTTATCATTAACCCTTTGTGCAACGCCGTAGCGCTTTCGGTCAGCGGCACCCCTTTTACCCTGACCCGACTCGCTGACAGCTTTTTGCCCTGGATTTCAGCTCCACGCGTCTCAACGTGAAGTGTTAAAATCTGCAGGAACGCGTACCACTTTTTCTTTTTATGCTATATGAAAAATAAGATTTTAGAATTCAGACATTTTAGCGACTCCGAATGACTTTTTACAATGACTTTGTTCCCAAAAACAACCGACGAATAACGCACTACGCTGAGAAAAGACGTGACAGCATCACCTTATCTACACTCGCTATAAAGGGGGGAGGGGGGCGGTTTATTACAGGGTGAGCTCAAAGGGTTAATGGATCGTACAGCTTATTTAATATTAAAGATGGGTGGACCCTGGAAGGATCCGTGTCAGTATCGTTCAGACTTCTGCAGCCACGCAGAGTCTCTGTCCCTGGCTTCGACCAGCAAGAGGAAGAGACAGACAGGGGAGGTGGAGGAGGAAGAGGAGAGCTGCAGCATCTGTGGGTTTCACTGTTGCCATGGAAACCGTGTCTAGCCTACTTAACACCTGTTTTGGTGACATCACACGCCAGGATTGTCCACTCAAAGAGCAAGAAATTCTTTTCAATTCAATGCCCACCCGGACTCCAAAGACAGGCCAATGGTGTGTGTGTGTGGTGTTTTTGGGGGGGGGTCTCTGAGATAATAATGACTAACAAAATTACTGAGGCAGAAACACAGGTAGGCTGTGAATCCTGGTGGACCTGTGGGCAGCACAAACTCAGGCACGGGGGTTTATACTTCTTTTGTTTGCTGTGAAAGTGGCCTTTTTACTATCCCTGTCAAAACAAGAAAAGAGGGCAGCTAGAGTTCAGTGGCCTAGTTTTCTGCAGGCTGGTATGCCTCTGAGTGGCTGCCACATTGGGCACAGCACAGCGACTTCAGAGCTGAGAGGGCCGTTTGCTGGGGTAGGTGGCCAGATGGAGAGTGGCTGCGCTGCACAGCCATCCTCCACTGGCATACAGCCTCTGCTCTCATCTCTCCCCGTCCCTTGTCTATTCATTTATTCATTCAGCCAAGCCTTTCTCTTTGCTCTCACGCTCTCTCAGTGCTGCCCAACATTTCACAGTCAGATGTTTTCCTTTTTGTTGTTTTTTTGTTTCGGATACTCTCTCAATAAAGACATTTATTATGCTCACACTCCCTCAGTGGCACACACCGGTGTGTTTGTCTTGGAGGACTGTAATGTCAAAGCAGTGGTTCCAACCTTTTGGCTTAAGACAAAAGGGATCAAATCTGCAGTTATGGCCTCGAAATCAGGGTTGCCAGGTTTTGGTAGAATCTGTAAAGTTTTGGAAGTGCTGCCTCTTGTTTGTTCTGCATGAAAATTGCACACAGCATTCATTTGAACCCAAACCTACTGAACAGATTACAGATCACTGTGTCTGCCACCTTGTCTTTTTGCACAGTGTATGGTCTTAGTCTTAATATATGTTCAGCAGATCCCCCCAACACTGATACCGTTCCTTACAACACGGTTTCATTTTAACTCTAAGAAATTTAACAGCGTCGCCCTTTACATATCAATAAAGACGTTGTTTGACGATCATTAGAGCAGGTTCTATGTTTTTTTCCAAGGGTAGCCTTGGTAAGCTGTATAGGCAGAGCTCACTTCTGATTCAAACCCAGTCATTTTGCTCTGGAAGCAGATCTGCAATATAACAGAAAAGACTCAGATCAAAGAGAAACAAAGGTTACCCATAGAAGGCATCCAAGGGGGAGGAGTTAAGGAGTTTGTGACACTGTATAGGAAACCACACTGAGGACTTAACTGTCTCTGTGAGGTTACGCTCGGGAAAGGCAGTGTGTTAAAGTACATGATAACATACTACAATGGAAAAAATTGGCCATAGGTGTGAACAGTGGTCTGTCTCTCTGTTAGCCCTGTGACAGACTGGTGAGCTGTCCTTTTGCCCAGTAAAAGCTGGGATACACGCCAGCACCCCTACTAATCCTGAAGAGGATGGATGGGTGGATGGCAGCACTAGATGATAGAGATCACTTGAATTATTAAAATGATCCTGAGGGGCAAAAGAATCACACTGGATTCATTATTCTAGAAAGACTAAAGATTATTCACATATAGGTCTAATGGCAAAATAACGGGCTGGCAAACAGACTTAGTGTCATCCACTGATCTACTGAAGCATTTTTAAAGTTTTTAAAAATTATTACCCGACCCTTCAGATTTATAATAATATCCCTTTTGTCTCCCAGATGTCAGATTGGGGACCACTGCTGCTGGAAAACCAACCAAAGCTCTCCCTCTCTTCGACTCTTCGACCTCTCGAAAGACTCATCCTCGACAGCAGAAAGCTGATTTGCAGAGAAGCCATGACAGAACACAAGAAGCATCTTCAACATTAGAAAAAATGTCTCGTCTGAACAACAGCAAAACAAAAAGAGAGAGAAAAAAAACACGAAACAGCAATAACTAAATGTATCGCCCCCTTGGATAAAGTGATGAAAAAAGGAGACAGCCAATGAAGCGGAAGGAGAGGGGAGAGATGGAGGAGTGAAGAGAGAGGAGGGCTGGGGTTTATGTCAGTCTCTTGAGGGAATGTTCCTTGTGTTATGATCCTCCTCTCCCGCTCCTCGACCTCTCTCTTCTGTGCACGCAGCAATCAAAGTCAGTGTCACGGACAATTACTGAGCGACAGGCGTCTGGAAGGACCCACAGCAGGAAAAAAAACCGGACTGAGAGCAAAACAACTGATCAAAGAACCGTGTAACATTTCATAAGAACACACAAGGGATATAGTTTGTGATAAGTGCATGTCGACAGCTTTATCAAACCATGAGAAGTTTCCCAGAAGTTAAATGAGTCTTTTTTTGTTGTTGTTTTGTCCATTTTTGCCCCTTTGGACAGAGTAAATTGAGGCAGTTTGCAATAGTGTGGCTTCATATTCAGTCCAGCTGTATGTGGCACTGAGTGCACAACACCCCCCCGCCCAAACACACCTCCACCCCTCCTCTGTGGCACAATGTGAACATCCCGCTTGCAGTTTTCCAGGTACTTTTGGCACAGCGTGAAAACTTGTTGAACTCAGGACAAATATTCGACCGACGGCTCCGGGTTGGACTTCGACTGGACGACCACCTGTTTTTCACAGCTGGTTTTGGGTCGGGTTACTTAAAAAAAAAAAAAAATACAAGACAGTAGTGTTTATCGCCACAGTGGCCCTTTCATACGCAAGATGGCCGTGTTGATTCAATTACGAGAAAGCAGCTGGACAATCCAAGAGAAAAAAACAGTGCTAGTTCTGTAAAAGGCAAGCAGGATGTCGTGTGTGTCACGTCCTACTAGGAGGGGGGTTGGAGGGTGTCGGCTACACCACAGTGCCTTAAATCTCACTTGAAAATCGATTGGTGATTGCCAGGTGATGTAACACCGTTTGTCTATGTTATGTCCTCAGTTTGCTCCGTGCCCCTAAAAGCCCCTAGTCTGCACACCTCGTACACATTCTGGTGGACTAGGCTGGTCTGTGTTGGTCACCCTCTCCCCAAACTGGGGACAGATTGTCAATAGTTAGCAGCAGTTTTGAGGTTTCGATACTATAGCCAGTTGACACTATTATTCGCTGTGTTTAATGGTCTCGTCACCCCGCACAAATACATTTGAGTTCACTTGCTTTGGTTTGGCAAGCTTGTCTGGATCATATTAATCACAGCGTCCTGCGAGAAATAGGTCAAAACTTTAAAGTGATTTGAGAATCCCCCTGTTTGCCTAAATGTGAGCGCGTCACTTATTTTGTGTGTGTGTGTGTGTGTGTGTGTGTGTGTGTGTGTGTGTGTGTGTATCTCACTGCGAAGCTGGAGGCACACTGTCAAAGTACAGTCTTATAAATACTTGTCAATGAAGGAGGACTTTTGTAAGAACACAGAGCACTAAGACTGTCACTTTCATGGTCCTTGTCCATAGAAACAGCAAACAGGAATGAGTAGAGTATAAAATAAGAGAGGAAAGAGGAGCCTGTTGTAAGGCCTTAGCCATACTGAACAGAGCATTTGGGCCTCAAGTTTAGTTTTTTGCCAACAATGCGATAGCCTTCCGTTGCACGCTCATTCTTGTGAGGTGTAGTATTTTCACTTGTTTTGCTGATTGCCGATTTGATAAGTATGCTTTTATTCTTTAAGTGTCTCTATCCCAATGCATTGCCTGGATTTGATTGTGCGAGCCAATCCCTATCACCTTTGACTGCCCAGACCCTCACTATGGCATTGACCCTCCCAGCCCGACCCCCTGAGCTCTTCTGGAATGTGTGTTAGTAAAACGTGTGTGTGTGTGTGTGTGTGTATCAGTTGACCACAGCTGGCTTGAGCACCACAGTGCCTGGGGGGATGACGACCCAGGACAAAGGATCATGAGACCCTCCTGTGGAGAGGTTCAGGGCCCCCCCAGTCACCTCATTCTCTGCCTCCTCTCCTTTGCCCTTCTTTGCATGGTGGTTCTGGGCCCCGCACTCGGATGCGGGCCCCAGAACCGGCACCATCGGCAGGCCCAGGGCCGAGGAGGGAAACGCGGGGGAGAGAAGATGGGACTTTGTGAGACCCAGCGGGGAGCCGTTGAAAGAGAGGATGGATGTTCCTCCCAAGCTGCCAGGAGGGGAGTTGGCACAGCCCAGTGTGCTGAGGTCCAGGGGCCGAGAACTGAGTGGGGACAGGGGCAGGCTTCCACCCAGGCCCTGCAGAGCATGGCCTCCCAGGAGAGCAGCCGCTGCCCCTGGGATTATAATGTGGGCTCCACTCACATAGGACAACTCTGAATCTTTCCCACCACCACTAGTAAACCCCCCGCTCTGACTTCCCTTTAACAGGGAGCCCACTCCACCTGAGGAGCCCTGCTCCTGAGTCACAAAGTGGCCGTGGGCTTTGATGTGCTTGCGGAGAGAGCTGGGATCTGTGTAGCGCTTCAAGCAGCCCACCATCTTGCAGTAGTAGGGCTTGTCCACATAGTGCGTGCGTGTGTGTTTGAAGCGGTCGCTGGAGTTGGAGTAGCGCTTGTTGCAACCCTCATACGGACAAATGTAGGGCTTTTCACCTGCAGGGGGAGAGATGATACAGATGTTTAGATTCATTCAGAAAATCTTAAAAATCTACTCCACAAAAACAAAAGCCTTTGTAGGAATTACGTAGAGACTTTATATGAAGGATTTCACAGCCTCAAGCTGAATGTTTTTGCAGTCATCGTCTTAGTTTTTTGAAACCAAACAGCTGTTATCTATTGACTCTCCAATCACAAGTCAGCCAATGAGCACAGCTCGGTTTAGCCTGCTTTCTTACTCTAATGGAGATCGCCATTTACAAAATGTCATGTTTTATTTAATATGACTCGATAGAAGCCATCAAAAACACAAGCTGACTAGTATAAAGAACTTCCTTATTAATTTTTACTTTACAGTTTAATTGTATAGCAAACACTGCCTCAGATATCCGTCAGTACTCACTGGGCTCTGACCACTGACCTGTGTGTGAGCGGTTGTGTATCTTGAGATTCTCCAGGCGCGAGAAGCTCTTGTTGCAGGTGGGACAGCGATGGGGTTTCTCATTAGTGTGAGTGCGAATGTGGATGAGCATTTTGTACCTGCGGCACACACAAACGAAAAAGCTTTAAATCTATTTCTCACTTGTTGAATTTCCCCCCTCAGAGACAAAATGAACCGTTTTCAACTCACCTAGCATTAAACCCTCTCCCTTTGCGAGCACAGCCCTCCCAGTGGCAGCAGTACCCAGAATCCTTTTCAGGTTTGACGTGGAAGTCGTTAACGTGGTCCACCAGGTCTTGCAGGGAGTCAAACAGCAGATGGCACTAAGGGAGGGAAAAGCATTTGAATATAATCTTGTGACAATGCAGTTGTTTTGATTTGATTCAAACTTCCCTGCAAGGGCATCAGAAAAAGCTTTACCTTCTTCCAACGACAGGCTAGCTGTTCATCTGCTGAAAGATCTGGAGAGGATCTCTTGTCACTAGTCTGGCCAATGAACATAGAGGATGGAAGGTGAAGTCCTGTCCCATGTCCTATTGGCACAAAGAACTGGAAGGCCTGTGAGATATGAGAATTCTGGTAAAAACAAACCAAAAAAAAAAAGAGGGAAAACAGCAACAGAGTTATTAAACTGCTGCACAAGCTTTACTGTATATCATAAAACCCAGAAAATGAAAGGATATATGTAAATAACACTCAGCTGCCACTGTCCATAGTTATGATCGTATAAGGGTGAAACCTTCTGTTTAGTACTAGCTGTTGCACTTCCAGCTTTAAAGCTGTGGAGTGCGCTGCATTGGAAAAGCAGACAGGTGCTGATGGACGGACTGACTGACAAAGTAAAAGTGTCGCTTTTTATCAATGGAGTACTGAACTGCAGATTCATGTCCTTCCCTTCAAAAAAAATCCCTTCCACTTTTCCTCTAGTAGTTTCCCGCTGTGCACTACAAAACCTCCCTACATCCCTGAGCTCGGCATGAGAGATGTAAGATTCGCTGGATCTCAGCTGGGGCTCAAAGATCTAATGCACCAGCTCACCCACACACACTCATACACACACAGTTTATCTTAGCTCGAGGAGAGAACGGGAAGGATGAAATGCTGCGTTTACAAAGAGCCACACAGGTACACGGAGATTTCAAGGGGAGCACAGACGGAGAAAAAGGGCGTACAGAGAGATCACAGTCTTCAGTGTTAGAATGCGCAGGTGACAAATTTCATAAAATGACGCCGTTTCCCTGCACTGAGCTGCAGCTCTGTGTGCAAAAAGTGTGTGAGCTACTTTGTAAGAGGTCTTATTTTTGGGTGTGACGGTAAGATAGACTGATAGTCTCCAATCTATGTCCACAGGGATAAGTTAAGTGTGTGCTGCGGTGGGTTTGGGTTGGAGGGATGTGAGACTCAATAAGATGTGGGGCGACTGAATGGCCCCAGCCAGCATGCCTCAATTCAATTGCGTGGGAATTGAATTAGGCGGCGTGAGGTCTGCATGTCTTAAATCCGATTATAAATGTACACACCAACATCCATACACACACACACATCATGCCAGCAGGGCCACTGAGTCAAAGTTGCACAGACAAAGGTATTTGTTGGGGACACAAGAGGTGTTTGATAAGACTTTACCCCCTCACTCTGCCACTCTGTCTCACACAGAGGCCTCCCACCCTTTCCATAGCCTGATTCCCTTATGTGAGTGTGACACAACCCGATGTTGTTCCTGATTTGCTGACCCTAGCAGGCTGACTCACTCCTAGCTGTCGACAGGAAAGTGTGCTCACTCACCGCTGCAGTGAGAGACGGTGTTCATTTTAACAACAACTTGGAGGTGAACGAAGAAAAGAGTATGAGAGTATGAGAAAATGTGGATTTGGAGCACTTATGTGTGCTTGTCAGAGTGTGTGTGTGTGTGTGTGTGAATTTGAGCTCTGATATACTCACGCCTGAAGGGATGTAGTTTCCGTTGGTCATTTCTGGAGAGCTTGGGGTGTGGCGGGAGGATGGAGACATGCTCAGGTCCACTGCAGGGGGGGTGGGAGTGTCTGTTCGATCATGAGGGACCACCTGCACGCCTATGAAAACACAACACAGGGACACTAGCCTCAGTGTGTCCACTTAAACATAGAAACAGTTGTGTTGTGGTTTGTTATTACTCACCTGTGTGTGGAGATGCTGGTGAGGCAGGCTCTATGACTGCTGTCCCATCATCTGCCATGTGGAGCTGGCGAGCATGTTTGGGGTGCAGCGGTGAGAGAGGAGGATTGCGCGCCCCTCTGTCCTTCCCGTTGGCCCTCCGAGGAAGCTTCAGGTCCAGAGGCTCGTCCAGCGACAGCATGATCGCAGACCTCCCTCCTGCAAGTGCGTGCAAGCTCGGCGTTAATATACACCTGCAGTACTGCGCACGTAAATGTTGTTGAAAGTATCTCCCTTTCCACGATCCCACTGGGGAAGAAATACCTTAAACATTGCCGAACCGACCACAATCATAAACTGAAACACCGAGTGAGCCAAAGAATAATAAACACACAGACACACACACACACACACTGAGGGCCCAGTGACCCCTCTTCTTTTTTTTCTTCGACCTTTACGAACACTCATCCTGAGGAATGTCTACAATCCAATCCAGATGGTCACCCCCACCACTAGCCTGACTTCTTTCCACCCCTTGGCCACTCTTTCGCTCCGTCACATCACCCCCACCCCTGAGACCGTGCACCTTCAGACACCGTAGACCTTTGAGACCAAACCCTGAAGGTCTTTAAGTTCAGCTGTACCCACTGCATTTATCTCCTCCCTCCTCTAAAAACACTGACCTCTGGACCCAGACTGGGGGCTGTGGGCATGACTCTTCTTCTAACTCTCATTATGACTCAGGAACTGGACACCTCCATGAAGCCCATTGTTATATTTATGAGTTCAAATCCTTAACAATAACTTCCTAAATAAAAAATCACATTTTTTTGACTAAATGAATTAGGAATTCTATCGTGGTCCAGACAGTTTTTGTGGCTTCAGTTCATTTTCTAAATTCCCTGGTGTGCAGCTCAATAGCAACTTGGACTGGCCACAGGCAGGTGGTGTACAGTAAGGGACAAAGAGTTTCTGTCCTAAGGAGACTAAGGTAATTCAACAGCTGTAAACTCCTGCTGTTCACCATACGGTGGTGGCCATTGCTCTGTTTTTTTTGTTTTTTTGCTGTGGCCTACTGGGAAGAAGGTGTAGACAAACTTATCAAGAGCGCTGACTCTGCGGCCGGGTATGAAAGCTGTCGGAGCTGAAATCAGTTATGATAAACCCTGCACACCCACTCCAAACCCTGAGGTTGTTTGGTCTTTATCATATTACTACAGTCATAGATTGAATGGAAGTGATGGACTTGTCCACAAACGTTGGCGAGCTACACTCTGAGCTGTACTGAAAGCATAAATGGAGACCATTCGCCCTCAAAGTCCAAGTTGCACCTTATGAAACAAGCTGGCTGCTGCGCTGAGGCACAGCTTTTACTCTAGCAACACTTTTTTTATTTCACTTTACCAAATTGTACTACTGCTCGGCTAGTAGTTAGCAACTATTTGCAGACATATGTGAAAAACTACAGTAACTTTAGTAATCTGCAAACAACCAAAGCAATCACTAAGAAGTTTTTGGTACATTGCCCTCTTTGAATCTGATTTCCCCCACCGAGAGCAGGCAACCTCCAGGAACCACTGCTATCCAGTCAGGGAATACATATTTTTCACTAGTAACCGATGGCTGTATCACGTCTATTATGTCTAACTGTCATCCACATGACATCTGTGAGAAACCTCAGTACACCCCCATTTTATGATAAACGCTTAATTTTAGAGTTCCAAATGTGTTCTGGAGTATTTTTAATTCTACTGTTTCCTACTCACGTTTGGGTTTGAGTGAGTGAAATTCTGGCAGTTTATCAGTATGTTATTTTGCATTAATTGGCAAAAATCTGTGTCACCCATGCAGTCTATGTGAGGGATGTCAAACATAAGGTCCAGGGGCCAGAATCAGCCCGGCAAAGAAACCAATCTGACCCACAGAACGGCTCGGGAAAATCTACGTTTTATAGCTTTTCTAAGTGACAGAACTCCAGCATGGCCATGGCTACAATAAAGTGATTAATTAATAAACAATTAAATGACAGAAAGTTCCTGGTTTTACACTATCTACTATAGAAAGTGCTGAAAAAAGACTGTTTCTGTTAATTAATAAAAACTTTCAGGTTTATATTACAGGGCAGTCTGGCCAATAAGCTACCAGAACTACTACTTCTTTCTGTAATTGTCCACGTTCATGTCTTAGAATTTCAAATTCAAATTCAAATTCAAATTTTATTTGTCACACACACACACAACCATACACAGTATGACATGGGGGTGAAATGCTTGTAGCTGTACAATGCCCGACCATTAAATGACAGAAGAAAAGTTTTACAATATTTACAATTTACTACAAAAATTTACAAATTAACTTAGGAATTTACAGTAAAGAATGTGCAAATAGCAGAAGAGATTATAAAGATAAGGATTATAAATTATAGGAATTATAGGATTATAGGAAATGTGTGGTGGTGCGTGTGAGTCCAGTCTTATAGTGACGTGTTGGGAGAGTCCAGTCCTACACCTGGTTCAGGGCCCGAATAGCCTGGGGGAAGAAGCTCCTCTTCATTCTCTCTGTTTTGGCCTTAAGGGAGCGGAAGCGCTTCCCAGACCTCAACAGTGAGAAGAGTCCATTGTTGGGATGGGAGAGGTCCATCATAATCTTCCTAGCTTTGGACTTGCACCGCTTGGTGTAGATGGACAGCAGGTCAGGGAGCTCTGATTGAATGATGCGTTCTGCCGAGCGCACCACCCTTTGCAGATCTCGTCTGTCCTGCTTGGTGCTGTTCCCAAACCAGGTGCAGATGTTTGCCGTCAGGACGCTCTCGATGGTGCAGGAGTAGAAGTTCTTGAGCACCTTCAGTGGCAGATGGAAATCTCTAAGTCTTCTGAGGAAGAAGAGACGCTGACGGGCTTTCTTAACCAGGGTGTTGATGTGACAGGACCATGACAGGTCCTGAGTGATGTGGACACCCAGGTATCGGAAACTGTCCACTCTCTCCACTGGCGTGCCACTGATGATGAGGGGTTTGTAATTCCTCGCCTGCTTTGTAGTGAAGTCCACGATCAGCTCCTTAGTCTTGCTGATGTTTAGGAGGAGGTTATTCTCCTGGCACCAGGTCTCCAGGTTCCTAATCTCCTCCAGGTAGGCCGTCTCGATGTTGTCGGCGATCAGGCCCACAACAGCAGTGTCGTCAGCAAACTTGACAATGGAGGTGGTGTCGGATGTGGCTACACAGTCATAAGTGTACAGTGAGTACAGCAGGGGGCTTAAAACACAGCCCTGAGGCACTCCAGTGCTGAGTGAGATGGAGGGGGAGACTTGTTTTCCTACCCTCACTGATTGGGGTCTGTCTGTGAGGAAGTTGAGGATCCACTGACACAGTGATGAGCTGAGTCCTAGATCCGTCAACTTGGTGAAAAGCTTAGAGGGAATTATTGTGTTGAATGCTGAACTGTAGTCCACGAACAGCATCCTAACATAATTCCCTCTGCCAGTGTCCAGGTGACTCAGGGATGTGTGGAGCAGGTGAGATATGGCATCGTCTGTGGAACGATTAGTCCGGTAAGCAAACTGAAGTGAGTCGATGGTGGGAGGAAGTGAAGAAGTGATGTGATCTCTCATCAGTCTTTCAAAACACTTCATCACAATTGAAGTCAGTGCTACTGGACGGTAAGCCCAAAGCCCAAAGAGTTGTGCTCACAGATTTCTTTCCTTTTCTCAGGAGCAGCATTTCTTTATCACGTAGAAAGACTGAGATGTTTTATTAAAATTGCACTTCTTTTTCTTTTATTAAGATATTTTGGGGATTAATTAAACTTGTTTACACTGACAGAAAGGAGACTTTCACAGGTCTGGCCCACTTAAAAATGACTTTCTCATCCCTGGTCTACAGATTCAGTATGCTGACCAAAGTTGCTGGCATTAGCTGACAGCTAATAATCCCAGCCTGCCATGTAAATGTTTTCATTGCTAGAGTGGCAGCTACAAAGCTAAAGGGACTATCATTTACATACAGTCTATGCCATACAATTTTGAATGTTTAAGCCAAGCTATCCTCTGAACATAAAGTCCTAGGATTCAGTGCTTCTCTACACAAACATCTTCTCCATCTGTACAGTTGCAGTTTTATAATTTCTTATTTTAAGTGTCTATAAAGTGTATACCATATGCACACAGATTCTTTCTGATATACATGCTTGCTCACACATGCATACAAGCAATTGCTCAAACTGTAATTTCAAAAATTATCCATCTGTTCCCCCTCTCCTTCGCACACATGCCGAGACAAACTCATAGAAGGGATGGCTAGTCGTGAATGGTGGGCTTTCAGTGCAACTGGCTAGCAGCCACATGAGAAGCCCTTGTTTCTGGGAGGCATGGAGCAGGGAGGTCACCAGGTTCGCCATCCCAACGAGGGATCGCCAACAGCTCACACACACACAAATACAGACACACAGCCAGGGGGTTGGGAGGGGTGTAAAGATTCAATCAGCCATAGATAAGAGGATGATAGTTCACACACGTACTGATGCAAACAGAAGAAGGCACTGTATGAGAGCAGCGTCATCGGTGAGATGAGCTGTGATGCATGAAGAGACACCCATTTTCCTCACATGCACATAAAAACACATCTTACAACAATTCTTTGGGGAAAAAAATCCAAAGTCCAGCATCAGTAGGTAAATAAAATATTACCTCCTATAAGCAAACTAATAATAAAAAAAAACCCAGACAATCATGCATTCTGCTTTAAAATAAGCTCTTTGTGTACATTGTCCAGAATATAGTGAACCACACAACCAATGAACACATGAAAAATGTGAAGCTGTTAAATGACTCGCATGATTTCTTGGGTTAAAGAAATGTTGGTGTCGCAGTAAAACACAGAACCTGAGATTTTGCGTGTTAGTCCTTAACCGGCTGTATGCTTCTCGCTTCACCAGTGCAGACCTCCGAACGAGGAGATTCACTTATTATTGTTTTCAATCACACGGTTATTGTAAATTATATGGTGACACATAATGAATGTTGCTAACAATAAAGGCGGGATTTTACTGGTAATTGCTGTCAAGTGGAGTTTGTTGTCATTAACTGTGAAAATAAACATTTAAAAAATCTCATAGTGAATATGAGCATCTGCTGCAGTTAATACTACTCCCATTCTCTGCTGTACTGGGTGGCTATGACTAACTTGCTGTAACTCCTACCACACATGCTTGCCAAGAAATTTT